GCCACAGCCAACTACTTCCAGTTCTCTGACTGCACCTCGTGCTCTGGAGACTCCTACAGAGCGCACACTGCTTCTGGTCTGGCGGGGGGGTGGTGGGGTGGTGGTGGATCTAGATCACCAGTTCTAACTCCTTTTTCTTCACAGCTGGGCACCAAACTTGAGATTATAACCTAGTCAGCTTTCTAAATGCTTAGTGCTGGGCTGGGGAGATGGCTCAGTAGAATAAGTGCTTGCCTGGCAAGCGCAAGGGCCTGGGTTCAATCCCCAGTTCTGCCAAAAAAAAAAAAAATGCTTAGTGCCTAGGACACTGCCTGGCTCAATAAATATTCTTTGAAGAGATGGGTGGACATCCAAAGACACTAAAAAAGACAAGACAAGCTGGGCAGGGCATGTATGTCTATAATCCTCCTTGGGATACTGAGGCAGGAAGATCTTGACTTCAAGTCCAGCCTGGGCAATTTAAGAGATTCTGGGGGCCGGGGAGATGGCTCAGTGGAATAAGCGCTTCCCTGGCAAGCACAAGGGCCTAAGATCAATCCCTGGTTCTGAAAAAAAAAAAAAAAAAAAAGATTCTGGCTCAAAATAAAATTTAACAAGGAAGGCCAGGCATGGTAGCACACACATGTAATTCCAGCACACTCAGGAGGCTGAGGAAGGAAGATGGCTATGAGTCTGAGGCCAGCCTGGGTTATGAAGTGAGCTTAAGGGCAGCCAGAACTTCATAGAAAGACCCTGCCTCAAAAAATAAAACAAGGGGCTGGGGAGATGGCTCAGTGGAATAAGCACTTCCCTAGCAAGTACAAGGGCCTGAGTTCAATCCCTGGTTCTGCAAAATAAATAAATAAATAAATAAAGTACCTTTTTTTTTTTTTTTTTTTTTTTTTGCAGAACTGGGGATTGAACTCAGGCCCTTGTGCTTGCCAGAGAAGCACTTATTCTACTGAGCCATCTCCCCAGCCCCTAAAGTGCCTTCTTTAGCAAAATCAGTCAGGGGGAAGGGACTGCAGTTCCATCCCCAGTACCACGTGCTGCACCAGACCTGCCCTTAAGGCAGGAAAAAAAAAAAAAAAAAAAAAAAAAAAAAAAAAAAAAAAAAAAAGAAAGAAAGAAAAAAAAAAATCCTTAAAAATAAAACAAGAAAAAACAAAGGTAACAGTACAAACTCAGGGACTGGGGTTTGATCCCCAGCACCATATGCTGCACCAGCCCCACCCCTGGCATGCTGAGCCAACTACTGAGTCCGAGCATGGTGGCCCACGCCTATAATCCCAGCGTTGTGGAGGCTGAAAGCAGGAGGATCACTATGAGTCCAAGCTGTGTATTGAGACCCTACACAGGATACACACCATTAATGTATTTTTTTTAAACATTTATTTATTTGTGTGTGTGTGTGTGTGTGTGTGTGTGTGTGTGGCCAGCTCAGCCCACCAGGGGGCGGGGTGGCTGGCATGTGGTGCTGGGGGATTGAACTGCAGTCCCTTTGCTTAGCTTAGCTTGTTCCAAGTAGGTGCTTTAGACCACTGAGCCATCTCACCAGCCCCCCATTAATGTATTTTAATGTATGCACCAAATACATTAAAAAAAAAAAGGTAACAGTAACATCCTTCAGAGGTAAGGGTGATGGGATACATATAGAAGCTGTCCAGCATGCTTCGTGGCACCTACCAGGCACCTACAAAATACTTAAAATGCACACAGAACAGCAAAGCCACCCTGAAAGCAACTGCACTACATGGAGGTGACAGGGAGGAGCTCAGCACACTGCCTGTCCCCTGCGGCATGGCCCACGGGATTAGAAACACTTTTCTCCTGGGTTGACACCTCAGCCCCAGCACTGAGTCAGCAGGAGCTGGGGACATCACCAGCCTGGAAGACAACAAGCTGGGCCCAGGACATTGACTCTGGTCCCCACTCCGCCCAGGCTGGGGTCCTCTCCCTCAGAGCCACTCTTACTCCTCTAAGTCCTGGGAGCTGAGAGCTGCCAGGACCGCCTCAAAAAGGCATCTGTTCCACATCTGGGATTCCCTGTCAAGCCTGGCTGCTGTGCCTCAGATGCTGGAGGGGATCAGACGAGGTGGGTGAGTGGTGGAGGGAGGATTTCAGGGCCCGAGAGAGGACTGAGGGGGGCAGGCCTACAGCTGGTAACTTCTCAAGAAGTTCAGAGAAGGCAACTTGGGTGTGTGTGCCTATTCCCCCAGGGAAGGGAAACACGGCTGTGTCACACAGCCTTGGAGGGCAGTGTCCAAGAGCTTGGAGATGGGTTCCACCCCCCACTGAACTCAGTTCATAAACTGTGGAACTCTGGAAGGTCACTCGGTCTTATCTGTAAAATGGGCTCCTGCTAAAATTATTTCTAAATTTCAGTGCTGACATTCCGTGATGCTGTTATTGTGAGATCTCTTAACTGGAATAAGACACTACTATGGGAAAAAAGAGGAAATGCTAGTTGACCCCAAGTATTGCTTAACAGGGCCACAAAAATACACACAGGATCAGTGAAAGTTCAGATGACCGCCAGAGAAGAATCAGTATTCAGAGACACTGCCAGCAGCCGACCTGGCTCTGAACCTCTGAGATGGATCCAAGGGCCCACCTCAGCTGCCTGCAAGGGGCTTTTGGGCTGAGAGAGAGGTGTAAGGGAAGGACAGTAACCTGGTCAGGAGAAAGCATCCCTGACCTTGGAGCCTCCACTACGGACCTCTGTGTCTTGACTTGGGTGGAAGGGGAACCCCATTTCCTACATCTGTGTAAAAGCCCAGCTTCCGGCCGCTGCCTTCAGACAGGAGCCCATTCTTACAAAAGTCTCTGAAGTTCCTGATCCCTGACCCTTGACCACATCGATCATTTTTCCTTCCCCCACCTTCCCTCATATACATGTAGCCTGTCCTCGTGTCCCACGGCCTGCACTGCAATGACATGTCTAGGGTGTGGCTGCTCTGGCTACCCCACAGCCAGCTGCCACTGGCCTCCCTTCATGGCAACCCTCACTGACTTCTAAGTGCTGGGCTTCCACCCTGCTCAGATCTTGCTCCACCACTGCTGGGGTGACACTGGCCTTCCTGAGCTGGGCCTCGCCACCCTCCTCAGCTTCTCCTCCCACTGCTCCATGACCCCTGGCCCATCCAGCCCCGGTCCATCCACCAAACTCCCTGGCCTTGTGCTCCAAGCTCCAGCCAGATTTAGCTCCATGCAGTCAGTGGGTGGAAGCTGAACCACCTGTGTTCACACAGCCTGTCCGCTGGGAAGCATTCCCCATCCACAGTGTTCTTCCAGGGGCTGCCTTCCCTCCACATTGTCTCCCCTCCCTCCCGCCCACCCCATATTATCTTTGCTTTCTTCAGAAGTCTTTCTGATTTCCCTGGCTGGCTCAGGGACCTCGGTTCTGCAGGGTACCTGGAAGTTGCCCCCAACTCCCCACCCACCCTGCAGCCTTGAAACTTCCTGCCAGGGTCCACTCTACCTCCTATTTACTGAACTCCAGGCGGCTAGCACTCCCTGGCCTATAAAAGCTGTGTAGTGAATGAAGGAATGAAGGAATGGAAGTCAGGGTGGCCAGGCAGACCTCTGCGGGGGCTCCCTGTGCCTGCTGAGCTCTGCCCCTTCGCAGGAGGGGCCAGGGCAAGCGGGGGAGCTGCGGCAGCCAGCTGCTCACGGGGGTCTGCTTCCTTGTGCAGTGAGGACCAGCAGAGGCCAGAGGACCCCAGTGTCCTGCTGGGCCTGTGAGGGGCCCAGCCCTGGTCCTGCTGTGCTGGGTGACACTGCGCTGCAGAAGCTCTTGAAGAACCAAAGTGTGTGTGTGTGTGTGTGTGTGTGTGTGTGTGTGTGTGTGTATTATTCCTTAATCCCCTGGGCTCCGGGAGGACAGATGCCTCCTGACACTTCTTCCTCCCTTTCACCTGACAACTCCGCAGTCCCAGCAGGAGAGGGGAGCGCCACTGCAGAGAGAAGGGGTTCCCCCCACCCCGGCGCCCCATACTTTCCCACCCGCCTCTGCTGGAGATGGGCCTGGGGCCGCCCAGCAGAGGCTCGGTCCCGCCTCCCGCCTCCCTCCCACGTGGCCGGGCTGAGTCTCTGTAAGGCCGCAGCAGCTGGAGCAGAATCCCCCCTTCCCACCCCCACCGCCAAGTCCCTCCCCAACTGGCCCCGGACACATCCTCGCCCTCCCACCCTGCGGCGCCGGGGACGCGAGAACCGGGCGAACAAAGCGGCAGCCGTCCCCTCCCCCAGCCTCTCTGGGCCCCCTAAACGCACTCGGGACCCGGAGTCCCGGCTGCAGCGGAGGCAGGATCCCCGCTCGCCAGCCTCCCCTAGCGTGGACAACTCCGCCACCCCGGTGCGAGCCCGGGGAGACCAGGCTGACCCCATCCACGCTTAGGGCGCGAGTGACATGCGTCCCACCCAGAGCGCAAGTGTCGGACGCGCCACGAAAGCAACTGGTTCCTGTCCCCCACCCCGCGCCCCCCTGGGGCCACAGCTTCGGGGGCTTCAGCACCGCCACCGCTCCAGCCCCAACTGGTCCCAGGGGCCACACCCACTGGGCAAAGTTGAATGTTGTTTCGTCGACACCTTCCTCGGTCAACCCCGAATGCGTCGCCGTCCCCCCACTTTGGGCAAGGACACTCCCCAGAAGCCAAGGCCAAATGTTAGCTCAGCAGGAGAGTCACAGTCCGGCGCGCGCCGGCCGCAGACAGAAGCGGGACACGCGCGGGCCGGCGCCGCAGTCACCAGCGCCGATGCCGCGGCGCGACCGTGGGGGTTCTGCGGGCTCGGACGCGCGCGGGGCCCCTCCACGCGCACACACGCGCGCACACGCGCGCACACGCACTCGCGCTGCTCGGGACCCTGCGCGCCCAGGGCACAGCCCCCTGCGGACCCCAACCCGCCCGGGCGCAGCCTCAGCCCCCGCTCGAGGATCGCGGGCGTGGGACACCGGGCCCCGCACGCCCTCGGGACAGGCACCGCACAGCCCGGCGCGCCCCGCCGCCTCCCGCGCCCCTTACCTCGAGCGGCCAGCAGACAGAAGGTCAGCGCCAGGAGTCCGCGCCCGCGGCCCGCGGCCCCGCGC